TTTTTTTGGGTTGAGATGGGGAGTTGATGTCCGAGTGGATCGAGGTCACGATAGCTCAGGTGGTAGAGCAGCGGCGTATCTAGCCGAAGGTCGTGGGTTCGAATCCCTCTCGTGCCATTAACTTTTTTTCATCTCAACTAAAAACCTTAATTAATTGTCATGTACTAATTGGTCAAGCGGACCACGAAAGTAGTGAATTAATTATTATTTACGTATAACCAACAACGTGATTATTTAGGCTTAAAGTATATGCTGCTATTTTCAATCGATTAACTAGACAAAATCTACTGCAAAGGCTAGCATAAACTACTGTCTTAGTCAATTAACTAAAAATTATATATTTTTTAGCGACAATAGGAATCTATTAATGCTGCACATATTTTTAAAACCTGGACAATAATAGTGGTTTAAGATGTTGGCTGAGCCGTGCACATTAAAGTTGATCGGATCGATGGATCGATTTTGTGCTTTCAAATGACACGCACTTGAGTCATCTGGGTTTCCAGTCTTTTGTTAGAAACGTATTATTAACTTCATTTTTCACTACCAAAATGTACGATTTCATTTTTCTTTCAAATTAGCTAAAAAGGTAACGATGAGCTGGGTTATCGACCTGCTGGAAACATGAAGTTTTTCGGATGATCTACGGAAGATGTCAACACAAAGAAAAAAAACTTCCTTTCAGTTTTCGCCGAGCTTTCGACAATTTTTATACTGTCATTTTCAGGGCCTGTTTTTTATGTTCCTTGTGTATTATGACACCATGTTCCTTTTTATTTCCCCATTAAGGTTAAAGTAAAATATACCAAATTTTCAATTTTTGTGCAATTGTTTTTTCATGTTTTTAATTGTTGTTTTTTATATGGTAATAAAACAGGCCCTGAAGATGACAGTATAAAAACTGTCGAAAGCTCGGCGAAAACTGAAAGGAATTTTTTTTCTCTGTGTTGACCTCTTCCGTAGATCCTCCGAAAAACTTCGTAGCTAAAAAGGATTAAAAATATAGATTTTTCCAAGTTGTTAACGCACAAACTTTATGATGTTAGCAATATGGTATCCCCCCCCATGTAATACTTTACATGAAAATTGTTTTACACTAAACTTTCTACAAGAAGTTTGGAAACCAAATTTACTGGAAACATAATTAAACTGTTTTGCCGTTGAGAATCAATTTTGATACGTTGCAAAGCCTGAATAGCCAAGTTTTGAGTTGATTTCCATTTTCACTTTTTATTGCACAATAATTTTTAGCCTCGCTGTTACACTTCCAATCCCGCTTACAACAATATATATTAACAACACATTATTAACGAATAATGTTTACATTTTGATTGTTGTAAAAGGTAAGGCCGGAATTAATTCGACCTGGATTAATCAACAAGGGAAACTCATCGAATTAAACACCAGATTTTTCACGGAAAATTTATGCGTCGGGTGCCGGATTTGGGAGAGAATATTTTCAGTGGAAAGCCCGCGACATTTTTTTTTTCAATGCCAAAACAGTCACCAAACTCCTATCCTTGATGAGAAAACAAGAAGAAGCCCGATCTATCTATTCACCCAAAAATGTCACTTAGAAAACCTAATAAGAATTCGATATTATGACCGGGAAACGATCCCCTAAAATATTGTTGGAGGATACGTGGTGTAAACATTTGAAGAAACAAATATAAAAAATATGAAGTACAGAATTGAACAAACAATTAAATAAATATTGCATCACTGATCCACGAATTGATCTTAAAAATTGGTAAAGATGATAAAACGATTTTATATGGTTTTTAAACAAACCCCATAAAATATGGTTGTTGTTATAAAATACTAAACCTAGTTGGGTTAATTCAACCAACTAACATCAACATAATCACGTATTAACAAATCAAATTTCGTAATAGCCAGTACTTAGTCAATTTAAACATAAATCTTAAGTTTTAAGAAATAACGGTAAAAGCCCTGAGTGATTTGTTTAATCTACAACGTAAACCGTGGCATGCATTTATCTCCCATGTGCAACAATAAAGAAAAGGAGAATCTATTTCATTATTATTATTACAAGGTGCACAATTTTGACTGAATTCAGACTAAAATGGTTAGGGTCAAAAGTTTAATAGATTCCAAAATGTAGACAGTTCTTACTGATGAAAGTTCAATAATGTAATTTTTCATAATTGAGTAAGAAATTTAATTAACATTTCTAAGCAATACTTTTTTTTATTGTGAACTTTGTTTGATAATTTGTAATAGACCAATTTTAATAACATCCTGGATTAATAAATATTGAATTTTTCCTCAATAACAGATATGTTTAACAAACAGGGTTCTCACCAGACAAACTAAAGTTGACGGCGAGATTAATTAATTTTATAATAATTTTGTAATTGTATTAAAATTCTGTTATAAAAGTATAATTAATTGGAGCATAGCATTAATAACTAATAGTTCATTTCATACAATTTTTCAAGATTAGATAAAACTTTAGTATCGCATTGGGCCACTTAATTTCAATGAAAACTACTAGATTTCTAATTTAATAATGTATGGCACTCTTTTGATTGTTGCCTTAAGACAGCTGAATCGGGCCAAAGTGATGAAATTGATTGTTTCTACCTCGGGAAGCAGTTGACAAAGAAAGGATTCTCCAGCAATACTCCAATCCCACCAAATGGCCCATCTTTAGGTGTCCTCCCAAAGGAGTGGTTAATGGAAGTTCATTCCAGTCTTCTCCATGATTGCAGTGGGACCTACTCGTTCTATCCACTTTTCTAACCGGTATCTATTGCTTTACAAAAATGAGACATTTTTGCGCTATCTTAGACTAGCCATTCAGACGGCTGTAAGATTTTTATAAGATATTTAAGCATTTAGACACGTACAAGGTTTGACGTTATCCTGTTTACTTTGCAGTTACAAAAATAAATAAACTTTTATAAATAATTATGATAGTAATACTTACGATATTATGTAAAAACAGTAAGAAGAGTAATCTAAAAATTAATCATCAAAAATAATACAACGTAATATTTTTTTTACCTGCCATTGGTCAGAATTGCATTATATTTATAAGAAGCCACGGACCGCCCTATTGTCGTAAATTAATACTATCACTCCTTTGAGTCTGGCCCTTAATTTAAATATATGGAATTAAAAAATTATGTTTCTCTTGACCAGTGATCCACGTTGCCGCCGTTATGTTCTACTAATATGTAATTACTAATAATGGTGTTATATTGTAATATGCAACCATCAATTAATTTAAATTTCAACAGCTTAAAAAGTAGTTATCACTATTATGGTAGTGCAGCTTGTTCATCGTTGTGTATGTAAACATCTAATTTAACTTTTCCTTTATATTTAAAGTTTGTATATGCAACTAGAATGTTTTTTTTTTAAACAAAAGTTCGTATTAAACAACAATTAATTTAAATTTAACAACTTTGTAATTTCTTACATATTATCGAAGCTGCATAATCAAAATCAAAACTGTCAGAATTTATTAATTAAAACGAACACCATTTGGTCGAAATTATAACACGATTTCTTTAAAGGTAACGGAGCAAGTGTATCAGTTTTTTTTTTTTTTTTTTGTAATAAAGCGCAAATAAATATTTTTTTGTTATTCATTAAAGTTATATATAATAATATTAATATTAAAGTTTATTTTAAATATATTAACATTAAAGTTGAATATAATAATTCTATAATGATATAAATTTATATTAACCTATACGTTTAGTTGGTTCTAGTTAACCATATTAATTATTTAAATTGATTTATAATTTACACTTTATACTTTACATGATTTTAATTTTAATATGAAACCGTCGTAGTAAATAAAAGTACAAAATACACTTCGCTTGCTGCAATTTTTTTAAAAATGTTAATATGTTATTTTTTTATGTTTAATATTTTATTTGTGCATTAATCGATGAGTAGAATTGTTAAATTAATAAATTGTTAATGATATTAATATTAAATTCGTTTTAAATTTATTAATATTAAAGTTAAATATAATAATTCAATAAATTTATAAATAATTTGTACGTTTTAGTTGGTTCTAGTTAACCATATTAATTAAATTGATTTATAATTTACACATTATACTTTACATAAAATTTTTAATTTTAATTTGAAACCTTCGTAGTAAATAAAATTACTACTAATAGTACTCTACGCTTGCAGCAAATGTTTTTTATGTTAATATGTTATTTTTTTGTTTTAATATTTTATTTGTGCATTAATCAATGAGTAGAAATGTTAAATTAATAAATTATTAAATTGTTAATAACATTAATATTAAAGTTCATTTTAAATTTATTAATATTTAAGTAAAATATAATAATTCAATAAATTTATAATTAATTTGTACGTTTTAGTTGGTTCTAGTTAACCATATTATTTAAATTGATTTATAATTTACACTTTATACTTTACATGAAAATTTTAATTTTAATTTGAAACCTTCGTAGTAAATAAAAGTACAAAATACTCTTTGCTTGCTACAATTTTTTTTTAATGTTAATATGTTATTTTTTATGTTTTAATATTTTATTTGTGCATTAATCAATGAGTAGAATTGTACAAATAGTAGAATTAAAAACTAATATTCCAGGAACCAATTATTGTAGCATTTCAATAATTGATAATGAGATTTTTTACTCTTAGTTGTAATTGTAAATGAGCAATTGCTTGATCATAAATGTATATAGCACACAATTAATCAATATTTAAAAAAAGCTCAATTGGAAGTAAATAAAATCAGTAAGTTTTACGAAATTTTGGAAAAGGTTTAGACTTTCGGTTTTTACTGAATAATTCAATTTATTAAAAAATATCAAATTAAAATTGATTAGGACACGTGATCCGTTCCTAGTAACTTGATATCTAACTACCAACAACAAACGCCATGACTCATGGGTAACGAGTACGATTCAAAAAGGAAGTAGAGGTGAAATAAAGACAATGACAAATAGAGACAATTTACAAGTAAAACGTTAACTCACCTGGGTTTTGTAAGGAGATTACAAGTCGTGAGAACCCGTTGTTGAGAAGTAGAAGACCGCGATGAATTTACAGCAGTAGGTTCAACCCTCACTTGCACTCCCCAATCACAACTGATATTGAAGGGTTGCTAGATGTGGAGGGGAGTTAACTCTGGGCCTCTGCGCCAGGCTTCACCACCCGACCAAACCCCATTTCCACCCCCTCTTATGCCACCTCAAAGAAACTTATCAACAAAAACTAATTTACTACCTCAGGTTTCGTAAGGTCTATTGTCATGCGGTCCTGTGCGTACCTCAAAAAGAAACCCCTTCGCATATGCCTTTACCTAGGAACTAGACTATTAAAATCTGTAAACTACTTTAAGATATTAATATATTATATAACAAACGATCAGGGATGAGTATAATACGAAAGAAATCACTCGGTTACTTCTTGGAAAATCGATTAATATATCCCCTTCATCAGAACTCTGAAACTTTAATTACTAATTTAAAAAGTTAACAGATCAGAACTCTATGCACAATTTTGAAAGATATTGAAATGAAACCTATGAAATTAAATTAATAATGAAGAATATAGTTGAAAAACCAAATTGAACAAGAGCAGGGACTGATCGATATATATTTGAAAGATGGACGCAGCAAGTTTGATAATTATATTTTGAACGCTAATCACAGATTGCGCCGGAGATAAAACTAAAATAAATTAATTAAAATAAATATTTTTTAAACCTAAAAAACAAAGAGTGTAGTCGCATACTTTAATTTGTAACAGATGTTTGTAGTTCCCATTGTAAATATAGTGTTTTGTGATTGATTCGGAGAACTGTGCAAGCGTGAATTTTGAATTAAAAATTTTCGTAAATTCGATGATGAAAAGAAAATGATTAAGTGATAATCTATAATATATAAAGATTGCTTGGAAGCAAAAAGAAAAAGTATGAAAACGTGTGTCAGAGGATAAGTGTACAAGGAAAAGTTGCGAGTGGGAGAATAAGTTTCTATATAGGTGAATGAATGATTGAGTAAACAAATGAGTGATTGATTCATATAATAAATAAATAATAAAATTAAACCATTCGTAATCTATCAACTAAAAGAGAGGGAAAGCGAAACTGAGTATGCGCTGTCTACTTACTACCGAATTTCCTGTTCTTTATTTTAAAAAGCCAACACAACTTATAACAGACATCTCCTTGAAAGCTTATCATGATCAACTAACCCTATTACTTAGTGTCAATAATCTGCCTAATACGGGTTGGTCTGCCTCTCCTGTTAATGCTCCTAAGCCACTTTCAACTACTAACAAATTCTTACATTCATTTTCTAAACCTCAGGCAATGCAACTCAGTTTCAAAGTCTCAGAATTAGGCTTCAAATAAACAAAAATAACTCCAAAACTAAACAACTGGACAAGTATAATATTGATCACATCTGATAGGAAATTTCACGTAGTTTTCAATGGGATCAACGGATTTGTCCAAAACATTTTAGTTTTTAAGATCATTGTTTATATGAAGCAAGAACGTGAAATCTTAAAAAATAAGAAAATGGGAAATAACTCCGAAACTGTTGAGATTCAGATCATAGTTACTTAGGACTTTTTGGTTCCATTTTGAATACACAATCTACTGGCAAAGTTGGTAACACTAATAGCCGAACACCCTGTACATACAAAGTTATATAATTTGAAACAGGGGTTGTGACAAATCACCCCAAAAATTCTTTAAAAATATTAATATATTGATGATGGTAATAATAATAATTCGCTAGTTTAGTGGTCCGCTTGACCAAGTAATATATTACAATTAATTAAGATTTTTAGTTAAGATAAAAAAGTCAATGGCACGAGCGGGATTCGAACCCACGATCTTCGGCTAGATATGCCGCTGCTCTACCACTCGAGCTATCGTGACCTCGGTGCACTCGGACACTCCTTTTTGCCATTTTTCAAATGTCGTATAATCTATTTGATTCTCGGCGACAAATGGAATGGAAAATTCAAAAGGTGGGGTTGAGATAGGAAGTTAGTGACCGAGTAGATCGAGGTCACAGTAGCACAAGTGGTAGAGCAGCGGCGTATCTAGCCGAAGATCGTGGGTTCGAATCCCGCTCGTGCCATTGACTTTTTATCTCAACTAAAAACCTTAATTAATTGTAAAATGATAATAATAATAATAATCCGCACCTCTTGCTGCTGGGGGGTCCTCCGCGTATACCGGATATCTCTCAGTGTAGCGAAATCTCTCGTTTGGTCTTTACTTTATAACCCTTCCGTAAAATTTAATTGAAGTTGTTCCGTCTTTATAAGTATGTTTAAGTACTTCATGTTTTTAATTTTTTATCCATGGTATTTTGGTTTATATTAATAATAAATTCAACTTTTCACCGCGAATCATAATCGAATTTATCCCAATCTGATATAGACAATAATGAAGCAAGCCCAATGTGAACAAGATACTGGTAAAAACGATTTATTACTCCCACATAGACGTACTTATTTAGCGAATGTTAAGCCCAGCAGAACTTTCCTTTTAAACACCTCGTCTGAATTATGAGCAGCTGATAGTATGGTTTAATGGACGGAAAGCATTTAGAACCAAATACGTAAAGATCAGAACTTCACTTCATTTTTCTCCTCGGAACATTCAAAGCATCATATTTAGTTAGAAACATTTAAATGTTCATTAGCACCAAATTTTATTCTTTCTTGTGATCGGAAAAATCAGCATAGTAGTTAATCAGCACCGTGCAATGATCTGTTCTCATTTCTTGATATTTCTGGAAATATTTTTCTTTTATACAATGCCCTCCTACTTGTCATGTGACCGCAGTGCGCAACCATGTAGTAAGCAGGGCTTTTGGCACCTCTAAGAAATTATATTAATTTAAATATACTTACCAAGCTTGAAATAAATTTGTTAAATTCTAAATTGAAACGTACTGTTAAAATATAAAATTGCAAATACTTAATGGCTTCAAAACAAAATTACTTAAAATTAATCGACTTCATGCTGTAAAAAAAAAGGAGTAATAAAACCAATTATTTATATATATAAAAATTCCCGTATTTTTGTTTTTCATGAATTTTATTATAATATTTTTAATTAATTATTTTCTTAGCAATACGTTAATTTTGTAAATATGGATAAAGATAGGTGGAAACGTGGATATTTCTAATGATTCAAATTTATGATAATACAAGTTACGCCTGCACAAAACCCTTAGTTCAGCGACATATGATGTTGCGTCTGTACAGATTCGGAGAATGTTTGTAAGCAATAAACCCTTCCCTGTTCACTATTCCTTTTACACTTGTAAAGATAGATTCAGATTAATCATATCCGTGAACAGGAAAGGTTCTTCTCAAATTATAACTTGTGTTTAACTAATAAAGTTCTTTTTAAAAAGACTCTCGTTTAGTCAACACACGTAACTTACATATGTACCTTTCCAGATGGAAATCTCATGTACACTTATCGATTGTATTAACTTAAGTAGTTGTAAACTTTATTAATGTTCTGGGTCTGGTGGTTAGACCATCGGGGTACAGTTCCCAAGACAGGGAGTTTCAAACCCATCCGTGACATTGGCCTTTTTATCTTAATTGTAAACTCCTCTAAACTCCAACTTGCTCAAATTGAAATTGATTTTTTGGCCCATTCTATTTCTAAGTACAAAACTTTTCACTTAATCATATATCGGCTTATAGGATATTGCAAACCCTCTAACGACCCTATCCAATCATCATAATTAAATATTTTTTTATTAAAACTCATGAATTTCTGATCGGTTTTATTTTGTTGACATTAAAATAAGTATGTTGTAAGTTCAATTGTCGTAATTGACAAAATACGAATGTCAGTGTTTTTTGTCTTTGAGTATATTAAGCTTATATTCTTATAAATATAGTGTAATATAAATCTTGTCCGTTATAAGAAACATCTGTGATTATGTAGGGGGCAGATAGGAAATTAACGCCTTCAGTGAAGGGAAAAATCTCCGTGAAAAGTTGTCATAATTAAATTCACTTTTTTAAAGTTCGATCCTGTTGAGAGAGATTATAACCGTTCTAAATTCAGTAGCAACGAATTTTGGAACTGAATAAGACTATTTTACCTCTCCGAGACTGAAAAAATGCTATAATTTATTGTATACGTTAAAGATTTTTGTAATGATTTTGTTGTTTTAATAGCCAGTAATTGAATTACCGTGATCCTTAAATGATATAAGCAAAATATATTACATGCTGGGGAGGTATGTACGTAAAATGCCTTATATACTCACAATAAAATTATTTATCTTGAAACCTTTTTTTTATTATTATTGAGAGACATTGTTGCTCGCAAAATATTTGTAATGCGTTTATTACGACAATTTGTCATTTTCCATTTGAAAGCTCATACGACACACGAGGTTTTTCACATCCAGGATAAGGTGGTTATCGTGGCAAACAGGAAATAAAGGATTCAACAGTAGCAGATCGGAGGTGTTTTTTCCGTGCACAACGACCACGGTAGGGCCAAAAGAGAGCTTTTGTTTTGCATGGCCAATGCAACCATTTGAATTTCTATTGAGTTAACCATTGCTGATTGGGTCACTGAAGCGATGGGGTTTCAGGCCCGTGGAAATTAACTAACTGTACGTGGAGTTTATTTTGCCAATTTGTATTTATATCGTTTGCGATGAAAATAACTTATGTAACTATTATATGTTAGTTAAATAACGTACTATTTACGCTTTTACGTATTTTTCACTTGACTTTTATGTTTACTCGAATCGTATTCATGCACAACTCCCTAACCATCCCCAAAGGAATCAATCATATTTCCTCACTTATTGTTACTAATACATTCACGTATAACATACTTAGCCGACTCAAATCTCAACTGTACCGCGGTGCGGTAACCGAGATGTTATGGCAGTCGACTCTACTATATCCCATCACGCGAGCAGTTCTAGGTTCGAATACCGGCATTGCCCTTCTTATATACTCAAATACCAAAAAAACTGGTCTTTTATTATCTATTTCAAACTACGCGTTTGTATACATATAGTTAAAGTAATTACAACATTCTTATAAAAATCAAAAATTCATGAATTTTAATAACTATTCAGAAAT